ACACACACACATGCACACACATCTACTTGCTTATCACACGTGCACGCTTACACATCGTTATGAAATGAGCACATACAAATACATAATTAAATAATATAGACAATGAGATCGCAAAATACATAAATGGATACATAGTCATTTACATAACATTGTACTGAACATGCATCTACTGACATAAAAATGATGTCCTGAAATGTGTCTTTAAAGATATTTTAAATTTAGACTCAGAAGTTGTATGTCTCAAGGGTCGGGGAAAAGAGTTCCAAAATGGTGGAGCAAGGTGGGCAAACGATCTTTCAGCTAATTATTTTACCTCCTTTTCTAGGAACTCTTAAAAGATGCTGGTCGACTGATCTTAGTGATCTAGATGGAACGTAAATCTGGATGAGATCACTAAGATATGAGGGAGCTTTGTTATTAACACATTTAGGACATAATATTGCAATTGTATGTGACATTCTAGCTGACACGGGGCGCCAGTGCAATGTTATTATTAACATGGGAGTAAAGTGATCCTTCTTCTTTTTCGTTTTTACAAACCTAGCAGCATTATTTTGAAAACGTTGTAACTTGTGAAGAGAGGTATTTAGTATGTTAGCTAGTAAAGCATTGCATTAATAGATGCGTGAAAACCAGAAAGATGACAAGAGCGTTTTCAATGAGTGTTCATTGAAAAAACATAGACATATGACCAATTCTGCACAATTCACAAAATAAAATGGTACATAAACAATTGATGTGTTACACCTTTTCATTTTGAAATTATATGTATGCGCCTAGACATGTATCTTTATAATATTATGTACCAATCAATATCTGTACAAAAAAGCCGATCAAGTACTCTTGCAAATATACTACTTTCTTGCATTTTCATACTTTGCTACTCCAACTAGTAATAATATGACAACTTCACACAGTATCACAAGACCGAGGGAACTGGCATACAAACGTAAACACTTTGTATGAAGGATGAGGTCACATTATGAAAAAACAACAACAGTGTAAGTGCCGGCAAGATCACTTTAAAAAAAAAACTTTTTTATATCTAGCTTATGGAAGTTATAAACAACCAACTAAATAAGAAAACAAATAATCCAGAGCTATAATTTTTAACATATGACATGAAGTAAGCAAAGCTTATGCAGTATGGCAGTTAAAAGACGAAAATGAAAAAAAAAATGATTTTAACACAAGAAACATCTACCAAAAATTTGAAATTTTGATAAAAAACCAAGGTTTCGTTTCCTATCTACATGAAACTTTAGGTGCTATAATAATATTATTATTAAACTCAGGGAATCCATGCCGGCGAATGTGCTGTAAGTCACTCTAATTGTTAATTTATTTTCCTCTAAAACTGACCCTGTCCAGACAGGTAGATTACTGTTTATTTAGCAGGCCTTAAGGTCGAATTTCTCCAAAGATTTATGAGACATGAGACTTTCTGCTAGCGAGACTTTAATTAGCGTAGGCCAATATACGAAACATTACCAAAGGGCCATGATTCTTTTTTTCTTTAGAAAAACACAGCCCCATTGCACGTAACGTCACTACCTTTTTCGTCATTAGGTTCATATAACTGTCATCTTTAAAATCAAAGATGATGATGATGATGATGATGATGATGATGATGATGATGATGATGATGATGA